GAATTGTATATATATATATATATATAATTTTATTGGGGGCTCTTACAGCTCTTATAACAATCCATACATCAACTGTATCAAGCACATTTGTACATATGTTGCCATCATCATTTTTAAAACATTTTCTTTCTACTGGAGCCCTTGGTATAAGATCCCCCTTTTTTCCCTCCCTCCCCCACCCTCACGAACCTTTGATAAATTATAAATGATTATTTCCATATCTTACACCATCCACTGTCTCCCTTCACCCACGTTTCTGTTGTTCGCCCCCTACGGTGGGGGAAGTGGAGGGGAGGGTTATCTTATTTCATGTCTGTAACCGTTGCTATATGGCTGTCCTTTCTTATCAGGCAGAGTGAGAACTTTCCCGGCCATGTCTGATCAGTGTTGTCCAGGCTCCTTTGCCAAGAATGGTGGTCCACGAGGCCTGCTTAGTTTTGACAGGTGGAACCCCACCCTTGCTTGGGTCTAAGTACGTGTGTGGAATGTCCTGATAGGACGCAGTGGTAGCAGTGGTCAGACGAATGGAGATGGTGGGAAGACAGAAGCATTACATGTGAAAAGCCTAGTATTTTAATAAAGTAACATATGTGTACATTATTTGGAAAGGATAACTTTTTTAATCACAGTTTATTTTTTAATAAACAGTGTCAGGAGTCATATAAGGTACCGTCATGTGCTCAGACACTTCATGTCTGTGTTGTTAGTATCCTGGAAGGAGCCCCTGGTGGCTTAGTGAGCATGTGGTGGGCTGCTAACCACAAGGTTAGCAGTGTGAAACCACCAGCCTTTCCATGGGTGAAAGAAGAGGCTTTCTACTCCTGTAAGGAGTAGACAGTCTCAGAAACCCACGGGGCAGCTCGACCCTGGCCTATGGGGGAGCCATGAGTCAGAATTGATCGGTGGCCGTGAGAGAAGGTGCTGGCCCTGACAGTTGAAAAGAGCAGGTATACTAGATTGCAGGGACAGCAGGTCACCCATCACCCTCTCTCCCCTCCTGTCCAGGGACACAGCATGGTATGGCAGAAGCGGAATAAGCCCACTGTTGACACTGGCCTTGAGTTCTGGCCAGATGCAGGACCCTCCCTTCCCCAGGCCAAGCTTGCCCCTCTCCCAGCCCGCCCTCTGGGCTGCGGCTCCCTCTGCACCCCTCACTGAGCGAGTGGCCTGTGGACGAGCCTCTCAGGGCCACCTTTATCCAGACCTCCGCGGCAGGGTTGCTGTGAGCACGCAGGAGCCTCAGTCGGTGGCCGGCCCATTGTCCGTGCTCACGAATGACGCCTGCTGCCTTCTCACTGCTGCCATGACTGTCACAGAAAGAAAGCCGCCGAGCATCGAGCATCGCCATAAACTTTCCTACAGTCCTGTCTGCCCCAGCCACCTGCTGGGGCACGAGCTCCTCCCACCTTGGCTTTATGCCAAGGGAGATGCCCTTCCCTCCCCTTCCTCGTTAACCTTGGAAGGGACCCTCACCCCTGGGTACTTGCATCTGGTGTCATTATGCCAGTGCCAACTGTGGAGGCATTTCCAGTCCTCATTCCCAGTAACTTCTCGCAGTGTCTGCATGAGCACACACGTGTGGCTGGGTGTGCAAGAGCCTATGTGCTGTGAACCCAAGAGAAATTCACAAATTCCTCTGCACCTCCCCTCCCCTCCCTTGC